GCTATCACTGCCAGCTAGTCCTTCACCGATGTCAGCATAACGCCATCATCCTGTTGCCAGGTTCACACTGAGGCGCAGCCCCCCCCCCCCCCCCCCGTTCTTCCAGCCAGGTCTACGTCGAGGCGTCAGCATAATGCTCGCTCCTTCTCTCCGCCAGATGTACGCTGAGCCTTCTTCACATTGCCTGCCCACTCTCTGCTAGGCTCCCACGAAGTGTGATCGAAGTATTATAACCAGGTTCACCTCTAGTTGTCTTCAGAAGCAATGACATGCATCATTTTAGTTGCAGATGACCCAGACAAACCCTCCATGGACTGGGGTGGGCGGCACGACCGTAAATGGCCAGCCCGAAGATGTGGAGAGTGCACTTGTAGTAAGGACGATTATGCACACCATGACCCAGCATGGCCCCAGGCTCAGTCTATGGACAAATAAAACAATGTGGAATCTCTGAAGCAAAAACTGCAAGCCAAAGCTTCGACCATCAATAATTTACGCTGCAAGGGGAGAGGAGAGCGCCGGAGGAATGACACTTAGACAGAAGTGGGCTGAAGTGAACACCGACAAGGCTATACCGTACATGACGGCCATCCTGCCACACAGGATGTTGGTGTTCACCCAAATCCAGCTAGTCTAGCTGCATTAGGGTGAACCAGCGCTACTATGTTGCCGCTACTCCGACATGGCCGGTGGAAAGTTTGTCACTATACTACCAGAGTGCGCGTGCATACCGCCAAACGAGACCCCGGCTTGGACTTCCAAGTCCAAGAGTCTTAAGAAAGAAAATGATGTTTTAGATTTTTAATTTTTTAGATTAAGCATTTAGATGCTTACAGGTTTTCACGCGTCTGTCACGATCTTCCTGCAACAGAAGCTGAAAGAAGCTCCCGCCAATGACAGGATGGTTGCTATCTCTTTCGATGAGATGCAGCTCAAATATAAGCTAACGTATCTACGTGGTGAAGATATGGCTGAAGGCTTCGAATGTTATGGACAGTTTGGTGGCACAAACCGTCTCGCTGACCATTCATTGACCTTCCTGGTGCGGGGCATAAAATCCATGTGGAAGCAGCCTGTGGGGGCTTTCTTAAGTGCTAGTACGTCAGCTGCAGTGCTGGAAGAGCTACTTGTGACCTGCATCCGGAAGGTGCCAGAAGCCAACCTAAAAATGATCAGCGATGTGTGCGACATCGGCAAATCAAACCAATAACTCCACAAAAAGGCCCGGAGTCACTGGAGACATCCCGATAATAATGTTGATGGTATTCCAGTAGTGGCCATGTATGACCCACCACATTTGATTAAATGCATCAGAAACTGTCTGCTTCGTCAAAACATCGGTGTGGACAAGGTCATCATGAGCTTACGCCATATTAAGGCGTTCTTCCAGATGGACAGTCAGTGAGCAGTCTCGGCAGCACCAAAGCTGAAAAGGAGATACTCCTTCCTGGAGCCAGTTCAGAAAATGCAAGTAAGGCTCGCCACCGAAATCCAGCCGAGTTGTGTCCAGCGAAATGCATCTGCATGATGACTTATGGTGGTACCCTTTTGGTATTCTGAAAACTGAGGATGGAAAACGACACCAGGGCATAAACGTGACGCTACATTTTTTCCACAACATGGGGTTATCTTGAAAAGTTGTCTGATACCTGATACCTTTGATTTCATGTCTATGATAGTTTCACGACGCAATAATACGTCTATTCACTCTTTGTCCGCAGGAAGGATTATGGCTCTGGATAAAGTTTATTCGGAATTCCACGACCAAGAGATATAAACACAGCATAATGGTGTTTTTCTCATATATATATATATATATATATATATATATATATATATATATATGTATATATATGTATATATATGTATATACATATGTGCATATGTATGGGTTTTGAACTGAAACAGCCATCTTGAAGACATTTCGGTGCTGTTCACAATCCTGCCCTTCTTAAAACCTGAGACCCTCTAGTTTCTGAGCTACCACCCGTGAAAGTGGGGAAATGTATATCAGAGTGTTTCAAGGTCACCTTGGCATTTATGACGTCACAAAAAGTCGTTCAAACTCTGCCAGTCCATAGGCCATGCAACGATCAGAGCCAATAACAATATAATTGTTGAGGCGTTCATATGTGGCGATGAGGCGTTCGTGAGCGCGATTTCCAAATATAACAGACGTTAATTCGCTCTTGGTCAATATCGCGCAAGGTAAGATGACGTACTCAAATCGTGTCGCATTGAGGAGCATATTTACTTAAGAGAGAATTGTGCTGTCCTGAGCATTCTTTTCCGCTTACGAAGTACAAAAATAGTTGTAAGTGAGGTAATTTCTTCACATCTGATGCTTGTTTCAATATCTTCAAATGAGAAGCATTCCTTTATTGTCTGTAAGACTTTTGGAGCAAGCGAGTCTGGGAATAGCTGACGGACTTCTCCGCCTCAACAACTGTTCGATGAATTGAACAGCCGGCCTGTCCACCAGTGCCGGAGTAAGCGGGACCTGTCAGCCTCAACGGAAGGCAAACACATGCGTGTGTTACATGAAACCGAAGAGCGGTTGTAGCGCTGGGCTTCACCTGGCCCATCCCAGGCCGATAGCAAGAGGACTCGTGCGGATCACAAATCCCGTCCAGAAAGCTTGGGGATGTGTTAAGGTGGTCAGACCACTTTGCACCCGCAGGCTCAATCAGGACGCGCTTGAAAACTTTTTCGGCGTCAATCCTCAGGCCAGCGGAGGCAATTACTACCCCACGTACCCCGCACACTTCAAGCAGACCTACCGCAAAGGTCCACTCAACAGTGCCTTGCGGCCCTGTACACGAAATTGCGAGCCAGACGCGGATGGGCTGCTTGCCGCCTTCACTCTGGTGACTGCTCGCACCTGTCTTCGAGCCGCAAGTGCGACCACGAATCTCGCCACCTGGCCGTGGACCCTGGTCACTTAGAGGGCGAAACGAGTGCAGATGCCGTGATGTCAAAGATTTTGACCTATATAGCGGACTATCTGTGGGGCAAGAGTGATCCTGCCCACCCTGTGCTCGCTGCTTAAGGCCCCTGCAATCTGCTGGGCGTGTAATGCTGTAATGACTACGAGGCGCTCGTTGCCTTAAAAACTTTACGGGCGATGATGCACTAGGCGTTGGTGCCTGAAGATTCCCAGTGATGAGCTCTTTGACCTGGTAAAACTTACTTATCTGACTGCGCAGCGTCGCGCAGGAGCCATAAAAGGTCCACGTCTTCTCAAACAGCTCCTGAGCGGCGCTCTAGCACACAGTTGTCAGCAAGTTCTAGCTCCCTCTTTTTGTGCGCAGAATGCGTTGGAACTAATGCTTGAAACTTTGGTGCGCCTTCTCATCCGCCGATACTACGGCGCGATGACCGGAGAGGCGAAGCTGAGCGGCAGGAATAAAAAGGGCCGAAAATACGTAAAGGTGTCGCAGCGATTGTAACCGTTCGGACCACGTACTGGCCCTGTCCAGGAAGCATTTAGTCCCCCATCGGCATTTGCGCCGTCGCATGCATGTTGTACCGCACCCGCTCGCATGTTGTACCGAACCCATCTCCATCAACGGTGTTTGTTCCGTGTATTTTCGCCGCTTCGTGCGCTCTATTGTGTGCGTATACGTCTGCGCTGGCCGATCGCCTGTCTCGTGTATGTGGTGATTCACGTGCAAAAACGCATATATTTGCAGTGACGTTATAGCTTCATCAATCTCCAAAGGTGTCAGCAGCTCTGAGAGGCCCTTTTAAAGATGTTTGTGACCTGAATTGCTGGATTAAATAAAGGTAAATTGGGGTCTAGGAGGGTATCTTAAACACTGTGTTGACAAACACTCAAAACCTAAAATGATAAGTTATAGTCTATTTTTGAGGAGCTTAATATTTCTTTCCACTCTGACACTGTTTCAACATTCAAAAGTCTACAGGAGTATCTTAAGCTGGCAATACCTGAAACTGGAAAGTCACATTAATACACCATTGATAGGGGGGCTTAAAATTCACCATCAGGGTTGTCAACAGTGGGCAAACAAGTGGCTTCAAGGGAAGGGTGTTAAAGACAGTGCTAAGTTATGATGACCTTCATGTTTTCAAAAAGCCATGCATTAACTAGGTGTACAATTTCTACCCAAAGGGTCACCTACTACTGTCATCAGTGTGAACCACAAATTTCATCCCCTCCCAAACAAAATACCAACAGGTGGTGTTGCCTCTGCATGGTTGTACATAACAATGGATTTTGGGTGGAGTTGCCAGTTCATGATAGTCATTAATGATATGACTTTAAATATAGGTAGGGTTGCTGCTCCCTGGAGCATAAAAAATCACAGCTATTTTGACATTTTCTTCCTCCCAGTCCCAACCATAACACCCAATGGAAAGAACAGACCACAATGGCCATCAGGCTCTTTGATTATCACCTAGTGGTCCTACCCTTGGTTTGAATTCTGTTACAGTCATGGCATGCTGATACACATAGAAAGATATAAAGTGTAACTGTAGTGTAGGTTTCAAGTTTAATTACAAGATGGATAGATAAAACTAAGAAACCCACCCAACCACATCACTTGTGATGATTGATATCAACCATTGCAAGTGAGATAAATCCACTTAAATATACCATGGAGCAGAAGTAAGAGAGATACTGAAACTTTCAGGTGTATGAAAATCAAAGCATTTTTGATGAGTGGGATCGCCCCAACCACACCAGTTTTTCTTACCTAAGCAGGCTAGCCTAAGAAGTTCATCCACTGCACAGAACACTTATGTTAATCATAAGTGCTTACAATCATTTAAATGGCCCTAAAATAAGCTGGCTTGGCAATTAATAATCACTTCCAACAATGCAGTTTGTGGCATCCATGGACTAATCTTGGAGGTCTAAGATTTAGGTATGCAAACACTGAAGCTGCCCCAGGATGATTAAGCTACACCCAACATGCCTGGCATCACACGCTTTTCTTAGTCTTAGCCTGCGTATACGTGGTATCCAGCTCACTCACCTGACAGGCATCCCAATATTTCTATGGTTCCAAATGGGTCTACATCCCCCATGGCCATCCTGATAAAGTGGAAGCCAAAAGGGATACAGATTATGTGTAGGCTTCTAACTTCTTCTAGATGCTTGCCACGCTATGAACACATTCGCCCAGTTTCCTCCAACACTTAAACTTATTTTCTCTGCTATCGATCTATTGATGAAAGCACTAGTTTCTCGAAACGAAAGGCACCTTCAATGGCGAATGTTACAAGCAAGTGTCCAATCATCAACAGACGCGCATTAGGTCACGCAAACCGTCATGCTCACACCCACAAACACTAAGCTGGATCGCGATGAGCAAAAGGCCCGAGTCCCTCAGCTCCGCATCCCACGCTTAGCGTCCACCACATGCGCCGAAAGTAATGCGCGCTAAAATTGACTACTGTCATCGAGCACGCCACTATCCATCGTGATGTTTTTCACCAGTTCTCGCAACATGTTGTATTTTTCAGAATTTTTTAAAGAAATATATTCAACTTCTTTTCTAAACGTGACTGAATGAATACCATAGCTTTTAAGCAATAGTGAGTCCTATTTCATTATCGTTTTTGTAATAGCCTTTTAAAAATGGTGTGGGCTTAAATCCAAAATTTTGGATAAAAGAGTGCGATTTCTCGTTAACTTTATGAATGAATCCATCTTGTATCTGGAGCTATATGAAAGCAAGACATCGCGAGGAGCAATTTTTGTTCCATCCTTATCGATAAATATGAAGCATGCCCGGCGGTCACTACTGACTCTCGAAGACCTCTTGGTGATTAGGGAGGCAGATGATAGCGTTGAAGTGTGTCTGGGGTGTGTATAGCTGGGAAGTAGGAATTAGGGCGGAATGGCGAAGACATATGACTATTTGTTCAAGCTCTTATTGATTGGTGACTCTGGCGTAGGGAAGACTTGTGTTCTTTTCAGGTTTTCGGAAGATGCATTCAACTCGACCTTCATTTCAACAATTGGTAATTCTGACGTCTGGTTGCCTAGCGGCCCATTTCCATCGCAGTGCAATTTGGCTTGTACTTTATAATTTTGTCTACTTATGATAAACTTTTGTATTATGCCTCGTTTTGTGTGGTTGTCCATGACGATCAAAAGTTTGTGGGATCCAATTGTCCAGTCTGCAAAAATGTGCATGCTATGCTGATAATGCCCAGGGTGGATAATGACCAGATTGGTTTGTATCAAGAATTTCTGCACATGCATTTTAGAAATATAAATCCACAATGTTGGGTGCACAGTTGCTACTAGTTACAATCCAGACTTAGGGTAATACGTATTGTAACCTTTCACCATGTCGCAATATTATGCTAAGCATGTCTGACATAACAGCAATGTCCCAGCAACAAATTCAGTGGATATATAGTAAATCTGAGAGCTGCAAGTTAAGGTAACAGTCACCACCAGTTTCAGTGTATAGGAGGTCAATACTTCTGGAAACTTGATGCTGATAAGTGATGAAGGGCAGCTATGATATTGTTAAAGGAAAAATTATCTCACGATTCAATGCAATTTTGCTTGATCTAGGTTTGGCACACACATGTCCCATATGTGACACACAAACATCATGCAGGCATTCAGGTACACAAACAAACAAACATCTCAATGGATGGATATTTTGCAGAGTATCCTTCTCAGAAGGGAGAGCCAATATGTCATGGATTTTGAGTGTTATGGGGTAAATTTTACATTGAAATCCATTTATTAAACTCAAACTTTATTTCTGTGTTAGCATTACATTCATGCAAAACAAGCCAGGTTTATCTTTATTTAGCCTGCTCAGCTTTTCAAATAGGGTCATCATTTATCATTGCTTACCCTACTTCAAACCAAATGCATTGCTTGCTCTGATACACCTACATTAAATGCTAACCCACTGGACAGGCACAACTTGAAAATGTATGGTTGTATTGGCTAGGTGCCCAAAGATAGGCATGCTTTTTCTAGGTGCAATACAACATAGCCATGCCATAAATTTGATCCCACCATCTAGCATAAACAGTGCCCCCCATTGCCTTTGTTACTGCCATATTTTGTAATTTTTCACAAATTTTGCATCAGCACCCATTGTTATCAGTTAACTGTCTAATCAATGCAAAGGTACAGTAGGTAGAGGTAATATAGGGTCCATCCATCTCTTCAAAGCTCAGTTAGAACCATTGTTAACACATGCTCAGTGGGAGTCAGTTTGCCCCCCCCCCCCAGAAGGTGTTCCAGAATGTTTTTTGAATGACATTGTATAACAACACTAGATTTGGCATAACTGTAGATAATTAAGTAGTGGATCATTGGATTTCAAAAATATCGATGTACCTTGTTAGATCACTCACCTAAGGCAGGTCAAAGTTAGACCATGGATTTAGCAAAGACAATTTGTAGTGAATCATTGAATCTAATGCAACAAAAGAGTCCTAATAAAGCCACATATCTCTGAGCCAACTTATTAGTCAACATTATCTTTGAATAAAGAAATTTCAATGATCCAGGTATGAGGGTCAGACCAGGGTTAAAACAACATTTTTTTTTACTACTCTAAAGCTTGTTGCATCAGGTAGTTCCTGGTGTTCATTTCAAATTGATTGATAAGTGAAGCCAACTTATGCATCTTTCATGGACTTCTTAAAGACCAGGACAAGTCACTGAACTAAAATTACTCAGATTGCATTTAGTTTTAGGAACATACTACTTAGCACAATCTTTGATGCTTAGTCAAATACAAAACTCAGTGCAGTCTTGTATAATTTTGGTCACCATGACCTGCAGAAGGTTAAACAAGGGCACTGACCTTAACTGAGCACCAGTGTCTTTTGCTTGTAACAGGTAGCCAGCTTCTGGAGCACTTTGGACACCATTCTGGAGTTTGACCTTGTTTGACTTTATTTGACCCAATGTTCATCATACCCTAAGGACCCCAAATTTTGACAAGTGAGCTTGCATACCAGCCAACACACCCCATGAATATAGTGTCTCAAGCTCCCTTAGTTTCTGAGATCTCTGAGATCGCTGGGGTTAAATTGACCCCCAACCCATCTGAGTGAGGGGTATTCAACTGGCTGCCTGGGTGCATGTTAAGGTGTAGATTGAATGGACTGTAAATAGTGGACAGGTTGTATGGTTGTATTGGTTGTAATGGTTGTAATGGTTGGTTGACTGTAAATGGTTGACAGTGGTTTTGAATCAACGGTAAAAGGTGGACAGGGAAGTGGTTGTAATGGTTGGTTGGCCATAAATGGGTGACAGTGGTTTTGAATCGACAGTAAAAAGTGGACAGGGAAATGGTTGTAATAGTTGGTTGATGGTAAATGGTTGACAGTTGTTTTGAATTTGCTGTAAAAAGTGGATGGAAAATGGTTTCCTTCTCACAATTTATGAAGGCTCTGTTTGGGATATGACTGACTGTTATAATAATGCAACTAAATATCACAAAAAGGTGAACTTCAAAGCTGCATCATTTTCCAAGTAAAATGACACTGCTCAGGCTACATAATCAGGCAAGGTCACTTGTGCCCACCTTGCCTTGAAACATATGCACCATTTTGGATCTGGGTCCTTGCATCCAATGCTCTGGTATGTTGGGAGACAATTCCAGCTCAGTACATGACAGTCACATTTTAAGTCATCTTGAAGACATACAATTTCATGCCATATATCAAACAAAACCTTATCTCCCCGCTTTTTCAGACAACTGTTAGTTAAAAAGTAGGTTACGGACACCATATGGCCAACATAGTCAGTGCGCCCCAAAGCCCAAGTCATCACCATCATCAGGCAAGGTCACTAACAGGCCTTTGATTATTTCCGTGCAGGGAAATTTGTGTCATTCAAGCAGAGGTTTGGGGAAGTGGTCATTAATTGCATTACATCCATCTTGCTGTTGTTTTTTGTCATGCATTTTGAGTATGACACAAACAGGAACAGGAGGTGTCAGAATCTGTATAGCTGAAGGTCTAAGATCGCTTGCATGGGTCAAGCAACCATCAATATTTGTGAATACTATCTGTAAACTAGTTATCAGGAGACTAGGCATTTGTGTGGCCTTAACACAAGTTTTTGGTATTTGACATTCACTGAGCAAAGAAGTGGGTGCCCAATATGTGTCTGGATCCCATAGGAAACTATGTTAAGGGGTCGTGGGATATTTTGGGGCTTCCAGTAGTACACATGGTGGGTTTGATGCCAGAGTGACATCATTGAGAACATAAAGCAAATGGGAGCCCTGCTTCCCCCCCCCCCCCCCTAAGTCAATTAGGTTGCTTACTCTACAGCCTAATTTACAATCTACCCTTGGCAGGGTGGGTGCGTGGGTGTAAGTCACTTCAAAACTTGCTGTTCACCGCTGCCTGAGATGGCCTGTGGTTTATGTCAATAGATTGTGGCTGGTGTCAGCAGCCTCTCAAGGCCAGGCGAGTTCACAGGGTAGGGTGTACTGTGCCCAGCACTGCAGCACATTATTCTTTGGCCCCAGAACTCTGCAGTTTAGCTGGACTTTCACAAGCAGATGGTGGGGTGAGGGCTCACACAAGCATGGCTTAGCATAAATTCTTATCCCAGAAATCCATTGAACTGAAATGCTCAGACTGAATTTATAAGGAACAAAAATAAACCGAATTAACATATTTTGACTTGGTTTGGTCTGAGATCATGTCAGTTTGCAGAGTTTTATTATCATTATTGTTTGTGGTATAAACATAACCATAAAGTCTTCCGGATTCATTGGCAAGAGATGGTGTCTTTGCTTTGTTATGTCATAACAATAGAAAAGTCAGCTTTTAGTATGCAAGTTTTTGCGTTTTTCAAGGACTTTCTACCCATGAATGTGCTTTGAACGCATTGAGAACATAGGTTTTGCTTAGGGCTTTTGCTTGGTGCAGACCCTGACCTGAGTTTATTACAATGTGTGCGAATTGGCATCATGGACTGGAATTAGAACAATAAGTGACAAGTGTTTTCCTTGGAGTCAAACAGAGGCTTAATATGTCTGTCTTGCCCTGCCCTGCCACGCCTCCGCGCCTACAGTCGCTCGCTGCACAGGATTTGGGAGAAGGCTCACTCACTGTTGTTTTGGTGTCATTGTGCTTTAGTTGAGGACCTTGGCAACAGTGAGCTGCTGATATGGGCTGTATCTAACTATGCATTATAGTGCCGCCGCTGAATTACGAGCGACGTCGCTCGATGTTAAACCCTCAGCGATTGCCCTGAGCGGTCTGGATCGTTCCGGGGTCTGTGTGAAATGCTAAAACATATGATTGATCTTGAAGATCATGGGCTGCTTTGGGAGCTGGTGGACCGGATCAGACTCGTCCGTGGATTGATCGGCCCTACCGTAACTGTGATATTGGCGGCTCTCTGATCAACTGTGGGAGGGGCAGTGCCCTCCCCCTCCCCATCGCCCTGCTATTCTCGAACACCGTGCCCCGTCACCGTGCCGCCTTCGAAACCCATGAGGGTGGGATGAGAGTATCCAGGAACTTAACTGCTCTGAGATATGAATGTGGACCAATCCCTGAGAGGAATGAAGCGAGTTGAATAACCTTTTATGCACTTGCGTTTTACGTTTGCACTTTACGTTTTATGCACTGTATTTTTTTCTCGAAATGAGTGATCAAGAAGGAAACCGAAAAGACCGCAGTTACCTGACCAATATATGTATCGTATCACATTGTGCTGCATTACGTCGTATGGTATCGACGACTAGCCAGTGTAATTGTTGGTGCACTTATCTTTGTTTGTCAGAATGTTTGAAGACAGGTGGTTGCATGCCTACATGTGCTAATATGGGTATGCAGCAGCAGGTCGCCGGGGAACTGCTCGTCGCAGTGTGTGTGTGGGGGGGGGGGGGGGAACTGCTCGTCACACGCACACGCATACGCACACGTCTGCGTGTGCGTGTGATCCATACCGTACTATGCGGATACAGAGAGCATTTTGTCGTGGTGATTGATTAGTATCTTTTAGATTAGCAGTTAGTATCATTTAATACAACATTGGTCAGTGCTAAAGGATCAGACGGGATGGGCGTGTGTGCATGGACGTAATGTACACATAATTGGCTCGTTTTTATTTTAACGCTTTCCCTCTCGCAGGCATTGACTTCAAGATTCGGACCATTGAGCTCGACGGAAAGAAGATAAAGCTACAGATATGGTGAGAAGGACTGCATGCTTGTCTGGCATGCTGACGTTAAAGCAACATCCATTCGATGTGACGGCATCGGGGTGTAGGAAGTGTCACCGCTACGTAGTCATGGGTGTCTCCCGCCAACTGGCGCTTCAAGCGACACGCGGAAAAGTGACCCCATAGCACGAGCACCTGGCTATTGTCTCCAGCGGCGACGTTATCTTTCCTTCCCGTGGGGTTTGTACAGCGTCGTCAATGACTGTTGCTCAGAGAATGGAAAATGCGCCCGACCAAGTGCTGCCTCCATGTGCGAGCATGCCCTCTGTGCCAACCGCCAGCAAGTACTGCTGGGTCTGCGCAGCTGCGTCCCCGCAGTCTGGGCGGCGCGGGGCGGAGAGCGTCCCACCTCCGCCGCAGGACGACCGCCCAGTCCGCAGTCTGGGCGGCGCGGGGCGGAGAGCGTCCCACCTCCGCTGCAGGACGAGGACGCTCCACTGCCGCCGTGGGGCCGGTCGGCGTCCCGCCCAGTCCGCGGTCTGGGTGATGCGGGGCGGGGGAGTGTCCCACCACCGCGGCGGGGCCGGTCTGCATCCCGTCCAGTCCGCAGTCTGGGCGATACGGGGCGGGGGAGTGTCCCACCGCCGCGGCGGGGCCGGTCTGCATCCCGCCCAGTCCGCAGTCTGGGCGATGCGGGGCGGGGGAGCGTCCCACCGCCGCGGCAGGGCCGGTCTGCATCCCGCCCAGTCCGCAGTCTGGGCGATGCGGGGCGGGGGAATGTCCCACCGCCGCGGCGAGGCCGGCCTGCATCCCGCCCAGTCCGCAGTCTGGGCGATGCGGGGCGGGGGAGTGTCCCACCACCGCGGCGGGGCCGGTCTGCATCCCGCCCAGTCCGCAGTCTGGGCGATGCGTGGCGGGGGAGTGTCCCACCACCGCGGCGGAGCCGGTCGTGTCTGCCCGGTTGGCCATCGGCCGAATGTGCGGAGCGCCTCACAATATCCTACTTGTAGCTCATCTGACGTATAGAGCATTCCTGATAAAGGCACACCTTTCATGTGTCGAAGTTCAATCGATTGGAAGGAATTTATACACAGAAGACTTCATCTGCAGTTTGCGACTGCTCGTATCGTTTAAGTTGCCAACGGACTTAACTCATCACCAACATTGAGGAGCATTAGGTCGGCCTAGAAAACTTGCATTCACAATTTTGCAAGACATCTGTCTTCAATCCCTTCAAATCTCGAACAATTGATATCCAGTTTAACACTCCGTTCTTTGGCTGTAGCGCGTTAGACTAAAAACATCATGATAAAAGGCATCATGATAAAAGCACATTTAGCGCGAGCTTGTCTCGCATTAGACATTCTGTCTGGCAACAGCGCTTTAAACTAAAAAGATCTCACGAGGGGTACCACTACTGCAAGTCTACCATTAGGCCCATGCTAGGATCGAACTTTCGCAAAATTATCGCAGCATCGAGCGAAATCTGACAAAAACGAAAGTATGTCCTGAATTAGGAAACTTCGCCACAGCTGTCATATATCTCACTCGGAAATATTTTTGGGAACGTCGAGCATATTCATTTGGAGCCGGAAACATCCCGTAAAAAGCGAAATATGTTTCAGCGTATGTGGTTTGTGTTTCACTCGAGAGGAGTTAGGTGTTGTCAGTTGTTCAGACTATTGATGCGCACGTTCCTGTCCCGCAATGTTGTGCATCGCAGAAGGAAAGCGTGTGCTATTAGTTCTACAGCGTAAAGTGTCTTTTCTGCAGCATGTCTGCCATGACCCTGGTTCTGTCTCACCACTATGTCGTCGTCGTCACTGTGGCTTTACGACGCACTCAGCTGTTGGGCTATATGACGTCGCCTGCCTCTCACCCTGGCGGGAAGGACGGGCATTGCGGGTGATCAAACCCCATACGTCTGGTTTCCCACACGCGCAGTAGTTGACGCAGATGCGTTAGCCACTACACCAATGACACTTTCTCACCACGTTCCGATTTTTTGAATATGTACGACCAAATTTGATCGTTTCTGGAGGACTGAACTGCAATTTAGAATACCGATATAAGAAAGGATGACCCCGTCTTCACGCACAAAACCTTCGTCAACGCATGCAGTGTCAAGCCCTGTAAGTCCTGCATGACCCACCTGTTTCGAATCACGACAAGAGAGATAGAGTGTGGGCGTCTTGCATGGCCTTTTCCAGGTTTGGCCAATGGTGCAGGATATTTTTTTTAAAGCTGCTCTGTTCTGCTTTCCCGCTGGGCTGAACCAACAGTGATGCTTATTGCACCTCCTGTCCTCACAGATAACTCTGAGGTATTTGTCGGACGTACCCAGCCATCGCCTAAAATGGCATCGTACATCGTCATGGCTATTGCTGTTGATAGATGATCCACTGGCGCATTCATCCCTGACCTAAACGGAAGACAGGCATTCAGTCATCTGCACTTACACGTGACCTGTCCACCATCGCTGTAGAATGTGGCGCTTGTTCGACTCACCTCGTCGCCATGGTGTCTCGCGCGCTACCCCCGGCCCGCCCGCCGCGCCGGCCTCATTGGACCTAGTCGCACTCGTGTCGGCCGACCATCAGTCGGGCCGCCCAGCCGCGTGCGGCCGTCCCCGATCTGCAGGGCCTCCACGCCGGCCACTGGGGGAGGCGAGAGAGCACGCTGCGTGGCCTGTCCTCCGCGGACCGAGCCGACCAGCGCCCATGTCCAGCGGCAGAGATGGTCTGGCAGCGGCGTCAGGGCTCATTGGGAATGGCTCCGGACAAATGGGGTCGCGGACGGGGCCCTAGTCATCCTCATAATCTGAATACGCTCATGTAATCGTTGCCATCATAATCGTAATGTGACGTCACCATTATAGTATTTATGATGATGCAGTGCCCGTGACGGAACGTCGCATGTGGCCAGTGGCGGCCGGGGCCTCCGCCGTCCCCGTGCTGTAATGGGGCCGGTGGCGGCGGCGCTCTATAGGAGGCAGCACTGCGTGTCTCGTGCCAAACCAGCCTCTGCCAGCCGTAACAGCGGATCGACATAAGATCAGCGCGTTGTCTGTTGTCGGTGTGCTTTAGGCTTGTTCATGATCGTCCCTTAGCCAGGCACGAGACGCAGGTACGTGCCGTGCACGCACGATTTTTTTGTTTTTGTTTTTGTTTTTTGCTTTGTAGATGCAGCTCCTTCGGACCGCGTTATGATGGCTCACTGTTATCATACCACTGGTGTTTTGGCCTTGGATCAAGAGCAGGGTTTTAGGCGGAATGGCTAATGTTTTTGGACTTAGTTTTGACCATTGGCAGACTCGAACAGTGGTTGACTAATCTGGGAGCACATTGATTACGTCTGTTTATTGTTTGGGACGCTGGCAAGGATAGTAAGTGGCATTTACGCCAGGAAAATTATCATACAAGTAGGTTCTGGTAGAGAAACGTTTTGGGAATGAAAACCCAGACGCCTGAAAGGTCTGTTTTGCATTAGAATGCAGCCAGCTTCATAATATATAGACAGAATTGTCCCAAAGTGATATTATTTTTCCCTTTGCAACTCCAGTCTGGTGAAAACAGGCCTTTCTTGTTTTGTCCGGCGAGGGCAGAACAGGGACATCGTCTTTAGGGCTCCACCTTCGCTTCCGCTTCTACCATCCACCCCAGGCGACGGGTGAACCTTCATACTACAACACGGTCACCATACTTACGTCAGTGTGAGGTATGCACGGTCTAGACACAAACAGACATTGATCCGGGATTTTCCGGTGCATTTTTCGGCGAACCAGTAGCTGCTGAGCATGATAGAGTGCAACTTATGACATGTAATCCATCGGAAGGGCGGCGTGCTTCTGTTCTGGCTTGCATGCCGCCCTCTCCCTCCCCCCCCCCCCCCCCCCCTCCCCCTCTGCGGCAACTGCAGCTGTACATAACACGATATCCCTCCCACTACAGCTCCCGTAGAGCCTGATAGATGAAAAGGAATTCGTAGATGCGACCAGATGAATCTTCTAGGCAGATGAGCCCTCAGCGAAAGCCCCCGCATAGCCGCGTTGAGCCCTGGATGGGGGCATACGGATGCAATCATAGGCTGTGTGAAGAGGCGGAAAGCGCCGAGCACGACCGCCTGGATTATTGATACGCCCAGAAGTCGTGTTCTTCGGTACTCTTGCACGCTGTTCTCAAGTTTGGTGGTTCCGATATGTCCGTCTGTTGCCGATTGGCACTGCTACTCCAAGCTGTTGTACGTATTGGCACTGCTACTCCAAGCTGTTGTACGTATTGGCACTGCTGCTCCAAGCTGTTGCACGTATTGGCACCGCCACTCCAAGCTGTTGTACGTATTTGCACCGCTGCTCCAAGCTGTTGCACGTATTGGCACCGCCACTCCAAGCTGTTGTATGTATTGGCACTGCCGCTCCAAGCTGTTGCACGTATTGGCACCGTCACTCCAAGCTGTTGTACGTATTGGCACTGCTACTCCAAGCTGTTGTACGTATTGGCACTGCCACTCCAAGCTGTTCTATCTGGTGGCGTCGCCACCGATGTCAGACAGTGTTTCGCCGAGGTTTTGAGACGTTGGGAAGTTTATTCTAAAGAACCTGTCGTTGAACGTCGTTAAAGGTGGGTAAGCTCCAATACTAACAGTATTCGGCCACACAATTAGCGCAATCCGATATCACTCAGGTAGTAATTCTGAGGTGGATATTCGTTGTCACCACTAGTGAGAAGTCAGTAGCGGAATTCATGTACTTAAATGAATGTCAGTCACTAGTCCTTTTTTGTGCTAAATTGTATGGCCATTTTGATGAAAATCCAAGTATTTGCATATTGAGGAAAACGGGGAATTATTTTTGGTCTTGGATCACACTGTCATCAGGAGCATAGTTGTCTATTCAGCGTGGGGGGGGGGGGGGGGACTGTAGCCCCAACTGGGGCTTCAGGCCCCTAACTTAAGGCAGAAAGTAGGCCAAGTTTGTGGAGAAACCCATTTGTGGGATTTTTTGGGGGTCAGTTTTTGTCAATTTGTTTGTCCCCCCCCCCCTAAACTCATTTTGCGTAACTACGACCCCACTGTGCATGGATGGAAGCGCTTGAGTGTGGGTGGGCGCCCCCATGTCAATGCGCTGGTATTGTAGTGGTAAGTCTGAGTGGTTCATAGCTTGGTGAAACAGTTCAAGAATCGGGTTTTGCTTTCCGCACACTACGCAGTTTTGTAAATCAAACATTATTCTCAATACACGGACTTGTGTTTATAACCTTACTGTTGTATCATTCTTTCACTGACATCCCCAATTTTACATTTGGTTTTCATCAGCCGTGCGTCCCCAAAACTGACATTGTGTTGGTGTCGGCGGCACCCGGCCTAAGCGCGTTTCTCCTGGTACGCCCAGCCGACATGTCGGCTTGAGCTGTCACATGTCGACGCCGTGGGTCCTACTGCCCGCCGCCCTGCGAGCTGTGTACCATGCGTGGCCGTGGTCCGGCGCTGCTGGCTGTGTACCACCCGTGGCCGTGGTCCGGCGCTGCTGGCTGTGTACCACCCGTGGCCGTGGTCCGGCGCTGCTGGCTGTGTGCCACCCGTGGCCGTGGTCCGGCGCTGCTGGCTGTGTGCCACCCGTGGCCGTGGTCCGGCGCTGCTGGCTGTGTACCACCCGTGGCCGTGGTCCGGCGCTGCTGGCTGTGTACCACCCGTGGCCGTGGTCCGGCGCTGCTGGCTGTGTACCACCCGTGGCCGTGGTCCGGCGCTGCTGGCTGTGTACCACCCGTGGCCGTGGTCCGGCGCTGCGAGCTGTACCATGCGTGGCCGTGGTCCGGCGCTGCTGGCTGTGTACCACCCGTGGCCGTGGTCCGGCGCTGCTGGCTGTGTACCACCCGTGGCCGTGGTCCCGCGCTGCTCGGCTGGCTCTGGTACCACCCGTGGCCGTGGTCCGGCGCTGCTGGCTGTGTACCACCCGTGGCCGTGGTCCGGCGCTGCTGGCTGTGTACCACCCGTGGCCGTGGTCCGGCGCTGCTGGCTGTGTACCACCCGTGGCCGTGGTCCGGCGCTGCGAGCTGTACCATCCGTGGCCGTGGTCCAGCGCTGCTGGCTGTACCTTCCGTGGCCGTGGTCCGGCGCTGCGAGCTATACCATCCGTGGCCGTGGTCCGGCGCTGCTGGCTGTGTATTACCTGTGGCTGTGGTCCGGCGCTGCTAGCTGTGTGCCACCCGTGGCCATGACCCAGCTCTGCGAGCTGTACCACCCGTGGCTGTGGTCCGACGCTGCTGCCTGTGTACCACCCGTGGCCGTGGTCCGGCGCTGCGAGCTGTACCACCCGTAGCCGTGGTCCAGCGCTGCTGGCTGTGTTTTACCTGTGGCTGTGGTCCGGGGCTGCTGGCAGTGTACCACCCGTGGCCGTGATCCGGCGCGACGCTATCTCTGTTGTCTGCTGCAGACTTTGGATGGACAGATGGTGGGCGACCGTCATCCGGGTATCGGTCGGTTTAAAGGTCCCCAGCGAACCTGACTTATTGCCACCCAACGCCGTCCGGGCGCTGCTTAAATGAGGAACGCCCGCAGAGCCGCCGGCTGCCACGTGCTGGATATTCACGGTCGGCTGGCAAAACGTGCACTATTGGTCTTCTGCAGCTTTGCGGAAGAGTTTCTGATTTGCCTGACAGCTAGGCCGAAATATTCGGTCCAAGCACAGCGTCGGTTTAAAACTTGGGTTGGATTAGGTGAGCAGCTGGACTATTTGCATGTTAATGTGTCCGTCGAGTTCTGGACAGCTCTTGTCAACGGTGGCCGCAAGTCTTGACTCGAAACGTTCTGTCTCACTGTATTGCGTAACACTGTTCGCTCTTAATGGCAGTCATCATACGCTCTGAGTTTGTAACGTCGGCTTGTAATGTAGCGTCTGGTTCCTAACGCACTTCATACGGGAGGCACCGCACCAGAGCGGTGACCAAGGGTCTGAGGCGCGCGCCATTTATTCGGTCTGGTGGTTCCCGAGCTACAGTGGAGCAGTATAATTTCTGTGCCTCTGCGGGGTCTCGTGTGGCCCGCACTCAGACCTGTGCATGCTCCTCCGGGTCAGGTTGGCGCAGCCTGTCTGCCGTCGCACCGCATCACATGGTGAATGATGCACCTGGCGTTTGTCCCTTGTGCCGATTGGTCCATCGCTGCGCCGGTACCCGTGCGCTACGACGCGGTCCGTACTGCGATGAGCTGCACGTCGTCTGACCAGTGACCAGACGGGCCGCAGACGGGAGATCCGCCGTCCGGTCTTTGACCACGCGGCGGCTGCCATGTAACCAGTCAGTCACCAGCGGAGGTCCGCCGATCGGTCTGTGACTAGGCGGCGGCTACCATGTGACCAGCGACCAGCGGAGGTCTGCCGCTGGGTCTGTGACCAGGCGGCGGCTGCCATGTGGCCAGTGACCAGCAGAGGTCTGCCGCTGGGTCTGTGACCAGGCGGCGGCTGCCATGTGACCAGTGACCAACGGAGGTCTGCCGCTCGGTCTGTGACCAGACGGCGGCTGCCATGTGACCAGTCACCAGCGGAGGTCTGCCGCTGGGTCTGTGACCAGGCGGCGGCTGCCATGTGGCCAGTGACCAGCGGAGGAGTCTTCAACTGCCCCATGACCGGCTTCGAGTCGAAAGACGTGCACGTGACTGGTGACCTCCACGCCTGTTGCAGGGACACAGCCGGTCAGGAGCGGTTTCGCACCATCACAACGGCCTACTACCGCGGCGCCATGGGCATCCTGCTGGTGTATGACATCACCAGTGACAAGTCTTTCGACAACATCAAAAACTGGATCCGCAACATCGAAGAGCATGCGTCCGCGGATGTCGAGAAGATGATCCTGGGCAACAAGTGGTGACATGAACGAGAATGCGGCAGGTGGGTTTGGCCTGCAGTCCCGTGGGGCCGGTCGCCAGACGCGACCGCGCCTGTCGTATCATGGCCTGTCCTGTCCTGTATTCTCTCTTCCCGTTCCGTTCTGTCCCGTCCCGTCCCGTCCCGTCCCGTCCCGTCCCGTCCCGTCCCGTCCCGTCCCGTCCCGTCCCGTCCTGGCTTGTTTTGTATATCTTGTCTTGGTCTTGTCTTGTCTTGTCTTGTCATGTCATGTCATGTCATGTATGTCATGTCATGTCATGTCATGTCATGTCATGTCATGTCATGTCATGTCATGTCATGTCATGTCATGTCATGTCATGTCATGTCCTGTCCTGTCCTGTCCTGTCCGGTCCTGTCCTGTCCGTCCTGTCCTGTCCTGTCCTGTCCTGCATCGTCCCGTCTTTCAGCTGCTGCAGTGTTTGCCCAACGGACAGTCTGTAAACATCTCCTCGGTGGGGGTGCCAGGCTCGAGGATGAAGACAATTAGCGCCCCTGATCAGGCAGCTTCCCTTCGAATTCCTCAGTTGTCGAGCAGAATCTTCCACCCGGGAGGGATCGGTGGCTGGCGCCGGGCGCAGTGTGGCGAGTCCTCGGCTGTCGAGCAGTATCTGTCCACCCGGGAGGGATCGGTGGCTAGCGCCGGGCGCAATGTGGTGGCCCTCGGCGGTCGAGCAGCATCTGTCCACCGGGAGGGATCGGTGGCTGGCGCCGGGCGCATGTGGTGAGTCCCTCGCTGTCGAGCAGTATCTGTCTACCCGGAGGGATCGGTGGATGGCGCCGGGCGGAGTGTGGCAGTCCTCGGCTGTCGAGCAGTCTGTCTACCCGGGAGGGATCGGTGGATGGCGCCGGGCGGAGTGTGGCAAGTCCTCGGCTGTTAAGCTGAGTGTCTGTCTACCCGGAAGGGATCGGTGGCTGGTGTCGGGCGGAGTGTGGCGAGTCCTCGGCTGTTTAGCTGAGTGTCTGTCTACCCGGGAGGGATCGGTGGCTGGTGTCGAGCGGAGTGTGGTGGGTCCTCGGCTGTTTAGCTTAGTGTCTGTCTACCCGGGAGGGATCGGTGGCTGGTGCCGGGCGGAGTGTGGCGGGCGCCGGTGACGGCGTTAGTAGGCGGTTCCGCGGTCCGACCGGCCTGCTGAGGACTCCTCTCCGCCGCCAGGTGTCGAGGGAACGCGGTGAGCAGCTGGCCAACGAGTACGGCATCAAGTTTCTCGAGACGTCCGCAAAGTCTTCCATCAACGTGGAGGAAGCGTTCTTCACCCTGGCCAGAGACATCAAGTCGAAAATGGAGAAGAAATTGGTGAGTGGGGACAAAGCTCTCGTAATGGGCGGCACGCATGGACTGCATATTTGCTCAGCATGGAACTCAATGGCTATAACAATAAGACCGTTACAGTAATCGTCACCAACACATGAGTTTGTTGAAATTGATCATTAACAAATACTGCAAAGTGGTCGATGGGTTGTGCGGAAGACGGCGATACCCTTGGGCTCCATGCATGGAGGTGATTGGATTACGCTCTATGGGCCGTTTTCAGTGGCGTTCCTGGCGCTGGCAGCTCGATTTGCACTTCGCTTCTCCTTTTCTACCACACGGACTGAGGATCATTCTCTATGGTCCGACATGAAGCGGGACAAGTTACTGGTCGGCGGTCTGTTTCGCGTTCTTTACGACGGTATAGAAAGCCCCGCAGTCGGTCCTGTTCTTCGGCAGCGGCGCGGTTATCACTAATGTCGTGTTAGCTTGGGAGAGGCGATGTTGGCATTGTCCGTAGCCATTTCGCACGCTTCTGGATGGATGCACTTTCATCTTCCATATGTCCCTCCACCCTGTCGCCTGTTCTTACATGACAGCTATCACAGTGGACTTGCCGACTTCTAACGCGACACAGTCTAATGCGGTCGCCCGTGTAGCCTCTCCAGTCCTGATGACTGACGCACGGCCGCCGGTAAAGGGAGCTGGTCTTTGTTATGTGGGGGAAGACTTTTGTTTTCGGTCCGCGGCACTACGAAAGACTTGCTCCGCACGTCAGTGGCTCACAGATGACGACTTTTCACGATATGGCGCCCATCACCCGTCAGAGCTATAACCTGTAGCGCCAGCAGATAGCAAGAAGGCTGAACTCGTTGCGTAATACCATTCGAACCAGATAATGGGCGCTAGTGGCTATCATTGCATGCTCGAAGCACGCTCGGTTTTCCCGCTGTGCGACTGTCGCGGCGCTCCCGCTCGGAAGCGATGTCGCTCTCCCTGAGCGGCCGGTTATCTCTGAGCGACCTCCTGTATCGCAGTCACACGAGTAGCGCCACTGAGATCGAACTGAGTGCCATCTCGCCAATCGTCCGTCTTTGCTCGACTCACGTGACGTTGAGTTGGCTCAACCTAAACGGTGGTCGATCTGACTTTGAGGGCAAACATCGTAGAAGACATCGATGAAAAGCATTGCTGAAGCCGCTTGGAAGTAGGCTTTAGCGTTTGCCTTCGTAGGTTCGAGCTACTGGATTAGTTCGCAATGGCTGTGCGCTCGACACTAAGCCGCTCGACAACTTTGTTTGAATCGCAACGCCAAGTTGCTGCCTGAACGAATCCACAGACCACCAGAGGAAGGAGATTTCGCGGGGTTGCACGGTCTCGTGCCCCGGCGCAGACTTCTCTAGCTATTTTGAAACAAAGCGGTCTGCTCTGTCCGAATTATCGCAACTCCCGGTGCGCGAGTGCGCACTGAGTAGCTTGTCTGTAACATTTCAGGCCGTTCTAAGAAGAAAAAAAAGCGCTCATGTATCGCGAATATACCCGCATTCATTATGAGCCCTTGTGCCTGTGTGGATGACACGGTAACACGCAACACGTTCGTCCTGTTCCCATTGACTTGCTCTTCTCCGGATTGTCCAGCCCTGTATTTGGCCGCAATGTATCTCATTAGGTCCGCTCTGTACAGGAGGCCTCCGATGAATGCCTCTGAACCCCGGCTGTCCTCGGTTGCTATGGCCTGTTGTGTGGGCTGCCGGTGCTGGCGCGGACACGAATGGCCCCGTATGCCCCTTGGGTATGATGCCGGGGGTCGGCTGGCCTCAGTAGGTGGCCCGCGTCTGGACGCTGTTGCGAAGTCGCCTGACTGGTTCAGATTTCGACCCGCACGGCCCGCGCGAGTTGTTTGAAAATCGCGCGAATTGACGGGTATGTTTAAGTTGCCTTTTTGCGTGTGCGCAATGCGAAGATGATTGGTTAATCTTGTTTTTGCATGTGATGAAATTCATTTGAAATTCCCGCTTTGTGGGAGGGAGAAGCGATTTGGCCTGTTTGCTTATCGAAGTCTATTGAACTGGTTTTGTCGAATTCAGTCTCAAACAAAATATTTTTGGAATATGTACCCAGTAAATAATGCACCCGAAATCAGCGACGAATGCAGGATATGCGAAGTTAGTTAGTTGGCGCATATTTGGCACATGCTGATGACTACAGATCATGGCTCTTGCTCTGTGCTCATGTTTTGGGGCGTAACGCGGCCCTTGCGACCCACATCGGCCTCTGCAACATTTTGACTCAGCGGGACCATCATGGCAGCTTTGTGATCAACAAAACTCGCGGTCGAAATTGACCGTGTTAAAATCTGAGCCTTCGTCCCCGCACTCGTCAGATGCAGATGAAGAATGCCTTGTTCTTGAATACGCCCATTTCACCTCGCTTACCCTCCGGTGGTTGTCATTTAAATAACGCGCATTTGGAGGTCGTCCTCTTCAATATTCGTCCTGCTCACGCGGGCTTTATGTCAGTATCGTCGGAGCTCCCATCCTGGAAGCTCAAGCTGCTGATAGCGTCGATTCATCATGGGATCACCATCGTGGTACATCCTCGTCATCCGCCTGTCCAGCATCTGCAATCACGTTCTTCAATAGACACGGTAACTCGCTATGTAGTGGGTGATGTGTAATCAGATTGCGGTCAGACGTCGGCCTTCAGTAGAAGGAAGCAATTTGCTTATGCACGCCTATGGAAAGACCGCGATTTTTTTCTGATATACCCTCCACAGATCCCGCCTGAGACTACCCTGCGCAAGCGAGAATCCAAAGGGGCGTTGGAAACTGGGCCATGTTGGGAAACTGGGAAACTAGACCCTTCCCAAGATAACATGATTTGGGCAAAAAGTGGCATTTTTTACCTTAAGAAAGCCACAGTAACTTCTAGCAAGAATTTGATTTAGAACACTGTTTGGCGCAATCGGATGAAGTTTGGAAAATCAGGGCATTTTTTGGGCTCCGCTTCAAGACTTCGTTGCCCCCCTCCCCCCTCCCCCCGCTAAGGCGGCGTTCTAGATCCGCCCTTGGCTCCGCTTAAGGTGATGTGCCAGTATGCTTGAATATATCGTACCAAATGCCAGGAATAGTCATTGGGTTCTAAAGATGTGTCAATTGAAATAGTCGTGGTACCCCAGGAATAGTCTAGTCAGGATTTCAGCGTTATAGCTTAAGCAGTGTGGTGATGACAAACAGGCTTTGAAGGGGACCGTACGGACCCGTATCTGAAAATAGCCTTTAACGAGCGAAGAGCGATCATCATTCAAGCGGGTTGCATTTGGTGGGCGTGCTCTGATATGTTGATTTTACTGGCACCAACACGGGCTTTGTAGCAGTATCGCTGAAAATCCCATCCCGAAGATGATGATGGGTGAGTTTCTTGGATGACTTTAGCGTATCATGGTTGGAACCCCTTCCTGGGAACCCTGCTGCCGCCTTACTGCAGTGTGCTCTGGCAGCCAGCACGTACTTGAGAAAGACACCTGTTGGTTGGATTTTCGCCGCGGTTCGTGCTGGAAATCACCGGCCCGCGGCCTGTTGAATAATCCGTGCAGTCTGCGCCGCTCCCAATCGAGCTGAGACGCCCGCGGCATTTGTGCCCGTGTCGCGTGGTCGCCGCCGGGCGAGGACAGCTAGGCGCCGGTCCGCGACGGAGCGGCACGTCCGGCTCGATGGCGGCGCCCCCCCCCCCCCCCCCCACACACCCAGGAGCCGTCACAAGCGGTGTCTCCGGTTAGCTGGTCTGGCTGCTTCGCCTTGTGTTGTGCTGTCTGCTCTTCAGCTCGCGATTCGTATTACACATGAACTTGTATTTTTATAGATGATAATATGATTTCAATACTTCTATTTCTTCACTCTGCGTAGGCTTTCGTTCCAGTTAGAGTTTTCTTCTTCTTCTTGGTTGTGAGTGTGTGCGGTTGGCGATACTTACCTGCGCGCTGCATCCAGGTAACCGGACAGTTCAGTTTCTGTCCTCGAAGCTGTTGACCGTTGTGCCGTTGTCGTGCCAGCTTGACGTCTTCGTGCGGATCACTGCACTCGTGACGCGCGGTGTTAACAGAATTGCCTCGGTCTTTGAGATGAGACCGGAGCTCCCCGGTCACGGTCAATCCCGTCAGCGATGTCAGTCATGTCCGGAGCGCGGAAGGCCCCTGGCAGTCCATGCAGAACCATCAGCCATCGCCATCACTAACGGGCATTAAGTAATGGAACGAGACGCGAGGGAATGTCTGGACACGGCCCTAAGCGTCCTTACCGAGTTGGGAGCTCTGGGACCGAACACATAGAATTAAGAGGCCCACGAGATGCACTGCGTCATGCTAGAGTGTCCCGGGCCCGCTGAGCAGCCATGAGCGGGTTTTGGGGTTTCGAGGCGGCCAGGGGCTTAACATTTGTTTGTAGTGGACATGCGAAGGACAGTCGATTGGCCCCTGTGATCCTTCTTGACTATTCTGACGACTGAGAGCAATAGTTGACGTTTGCAAACACTTGGGCGGCCGGGCTGCCTTGGTTTGAACTACAATGTCCACTTAATGCGCTCCCTGATACCAGCACTCACCACTCAGAACAATCGGAATCCATGGACAAAGATCCCGTACGAGTGGCGCACTGTGGTCTCTCGAGCGAAGTGCTCATATGTCTGGCTTCGATTAGTGTCAACCGTTGCGCATTTGAAGTCCGGTGGTCATGACTTCGTACGACTGGGGAAGCTCCCCGGATAGCATGGGCGGCAAAAATGACCCATCAACATTCAGCAGAACTGCTGAGCTGTGTCCTCCCGTCGCCAGCTTTCGAGCCGTCGACAAAGCGCAGCGATTCGGAGGAGCACGTGGCGCGAATTTGTCGGCGCACCGCGGGTGTCGCCGGACTTCAGCCGTGCGCCCCCGTGGCTCCGTCCGTCCGGCCTGCTCTGGCCTGGCCAGTTGCCTGACGGCGGATCGTGCGGCGCCGCCGCCGCAGCGGCAGCCGAGCGCGATAGGACTCGGGAGCGAGGCGCGCGTCCTGTCCGACGGCCAATTCCGCCTAAGCCGCGCGGCACCAGTGGGCCGCAGTGTTCGGCCGGTCGGCCAGCGTGCGTCACCTTACCGCAAGGAGGGGCTCACTGGAGCGCAGCGTTCCAAAAGTCATTGAGTGGGGTGTGCGGGATGTAAATATAAATTCATGCTACCAGAATCCTTGCTATCCGGTGGCGGCCCCGCACGCAATTCGTTGACGCTAATCCGTTTCCCTTTGACCCCGACCCAGACATCTGACCTCTTAGTGCATTGGTCAAGCCTGAGGCGCATAGATGCTGGTTTAACAGTCGTGCGGTCCGATGCTGATTGGCTGATTTTGAACAAGGGGAAGGGCAACCGGCAGTGAGCCACAAGCCGGGGTATAATAGCATGAAAAATATCGACGTACATGCCACCCAAGTGACCGAATATTGAAACACTGCCGGGGCGGTGCGGAGTAGAGATACAACTTTTAGAGTGCGTTCGCAGCACGCAAAGAATGTTTTTAGCACATGACGTCACGTATAATTTTTGCCGAACTTGTTCGTAGCTCTACCCGTTTTCTTTGTGCATATTTGTGACTGTCTTGACAATAACTGCGCATTCAGACTGGATATTTTCGTTTGCAGGTACTTAGAGTGCTCCTAACAATGGTATCTGCAAATTACGCTCTTTGTAATGTGTAAAGCACCTTTTTATCACGCGTAGCGCGTCTCGGGCACGCATACTTGGCCCGTCCTAATTGAATCTATTACCATATTTCTGTCTCATTCTGATGGAATCAGGAGTCGCGGAAGAGGCCTCTGCGTGTCCAGCACAGATTCTACGTGACTTAAAGCGTAGCCGGTGTCGTGGGGGGCGCTGCGGGCACCAAATGGCGCAGAATTGTGGGGTATGACGTCATGAGTGTCGTCATCGTTAGCGGCGTGGAGTCTGTCGTCCGGGTCACTGCGAATACACCTTTTGGCCTTCCAACACCGGACACTAATTCGTCAACTGTGTAATGGTTATAGGTCGAATATGCCATCGATGTTATAGTCTGCTATGGATCAAACACTACATCAATGTTATGCTATGCTATGGGTCAACATTATGTCAGTGCTATGCCATGCCATGTGTCAAACATGTTATCGCTGTTGGTCAAATTGTTGGTATGGGTCAAACATGCCATGTTTTGCCATGCTATCGGGTGAGACGTGCTATAAATGTTATGCTATGTTATCGGTCAGACATGGTATAAATGATAGGCTTGTTGGAACCATTGTGCTAGGTATCTTTGAGGGGACTTGGGATTACCTGATAAGCTTGCTCTTTAATTTTTCCAGAGACGCTTAGCCCCTATTTCCTTCACTTCTTTCTCATAGGTCCCGGGTTTTACTCCGTTTTGCACCCATCGTTCCAGTCGTGAAAAGGAAGAATGGAACATGATAATATTTCTGATTTTGGTTTTTAAGCATTGACGTGGCCTAGCCTTGTCTCATCCCGCGTATTCTGCTGAACATTCACTAGGCTATCAGTGCTTTTTAGTTGCGTGTTTTGTTTTCTGACAACCAGAAAGATTTCACCCATGTTTATCGTAGCGATTTGTCCGGAGGAAGATGTGGGGCTGAGGCCGGATTGAAATATGAGATGCTCACTCTGGCTGGCTGGACACCAGCTAGGTACCAGTGCGACCTCTTTGTTGACCTGTTAGGGACGGAGGTGTGCGCCTGTCTCCTGCGATGGCGTGTCGCTGCTGCTGCCGCGGAGTCACTCGAGGGCCTTCAGAAAGTGTGTTCAGATATGCCTGAAAGTGCCGTTTTGTCGAAGTGGGATGTTTGTGCTGTATGCGTGCCGTGGTTCCATTTGAAAAGTACTCTAAACGTAAAGGGTTAGCAGCACGTTAAATCCTTCAGCACTTCAACGCTTTGCTTGCCGTGACGGTCTCAAAATATCGGGCGCCGTCCATTTGCGCAATGTTGTACGGCTCCTGCTTGGTGCGAGCCGTCCGGTGTTGGCACCATAACGCTAACGGGCAGCCGCACGTCACCCCTCGTGAAACAGAGGACGGCGCTAAGGCGTGGGGCATTTCAAACAGCCACTGCAACACAGCAGGGCTTGTAGCGTGATATTGTGAAAGTATCACGTCATCTATATGAAACAAACGCGACGAGACGTGTGCCAATACACCATGATTTAATTATCTTGCCGTGCACAAATGCGTAATGACCCCTGACAAACGACCGACGCGGTCCACGGGCGGAGCAGTCCCGGGTGATGATCGTCTGCTCTATTGGGCGGCGCTGCGGCTAATGAACGTACATCTTTCATGGTGGAACTGGCCGCGCCGCAGGTTCGATGTCAGCGTTTGAGAGGCCGAGTTGATGATCCTGGCTGCGTCACGTGTCTAGCGCCAGTGCGGGTCAGGAGAGCTGACACTCTTGGCTCGTCTGGGTTCGCTGCATCGTCTGACACCGTGTCACTTTGCTGCAGGAGTCGTCGAACCAGGCCAAGACGTCACACCAGCTGCGGGACGAGGCGCCCAAGAAGAACTTCACTAGTTGGTTGTCCCGCTGTTCGATTCTTTGATAGGCATATTTAGGAACCCCACCCTCACACAGACAGACAGATATATGGCGGGGCGGCCGCGCCGCTGCCGCCGCGCCGCCCGCCCTGAGGTCGTCAGCAATAGTGGAGCGAGCACGCCCGCCCGCCCGTCCCGCGGGCAGGGCCGGCCTGGCCACCGCGAGACGGGCATTCCCAGTGTGACCTGGCTGGCTGCGCCTCCCGGCCGGCCGGGGTAGACGCCGCCGCCGCTGCCGCTGCTGCCGCTGCTGCCACCGTTGCTGCTGCTGATGCTCTCCTCGCTCGCCGTCTGTGTCGCGTTGTTTCACATTTCAGGGGGGAGGATTGTTGCGCGGTGAGATGCGGCGGGGCTCTGCCGAGCTCGTGGCCTTACCGAGCGCCGGCTTCGCTCGGCCAGAGGCGGCGTGTCCGAGAATGCGGATCAATACGGCGACATGGCGCGGTCCGCTTGCCCTCGGCTTTACATGTTACTCCTTCGGCGGGCGCGGCGGTCCACGCCCGGTCCTCGCGTGGCCGCCGGCGGGCGAGGCGAGGTCCAACGTGTGCCGCTCGCGGCTTGACGGCCGCCCCTGGCCCGTTAGCCTGCACGCGCGGGCCGCAGCTTCTTTGTAAGTTTATATTCCCTCGATTAGGCGTTTAGTCTTGCGTTTGCTTGCAGTGCGGCACGCGGCCATGACATCGTGGAATATATGTGTCACTTGAGGCGGTGCCGTTTGCGGACTACGGCGCGGTCGAGACGAGCCGCTATGCGGCGCTGGAGCTCTCTTGCAAAGGAGCCGGGCTGAAAGTGCGGCCGGCGGTGCATAGAAAAGGCTGGCATGGCAGGCCATTGAACCTCCCGGTTTAAATACGAGGCAATGCATCTAGTGGTGCGTGCGCATGAAAGGTTAGCCATGCGGTACATTTCTTGGTTTCTCTGCTAGGTTTCATAGCCTTCCCATTTGCTTTGTCACTGCCGATTGATTCTCATGCATGTACCGGCATCTGATAAATAATATATGCCCACACTTGTTCGTTCTGCGGTATGGTTGCCGATCTTCACCTAGCTTTCATTCCGATCTTTCCATATTCCGTATGCTAAAATATAAGCCATTGTGTAGCGGATGAGGCTAGAGTTTAAAGAAACCTGATGCTGACAACCGATAGGGCCGGTTTTTTTCTGTTGAAAGACCACGTCCAAGATTGAACCACAAAGATTAACGAGGGAGATACACCAACTGTGCCCAGGTGGGCGTTGATGTCTTAGATAAGACGTCATTGAGTCCGAGGGAGACCGCACGCAGGAAGCACCCAGAACCTTTTTTCTGGCTATGACACACCATGGCAACGGTATCGTTAGATAATTGGCGTTCACAGCAAGGTTGGGTTGGCTTGACGTTTAGCGCGGGCTTTATAATCAGCTTTCGACGCATGCCACCACGTCATTTCTGACCAGGAAATAAGAGAACGCCGAGAACCCTTTCATATGCATGTACACACGGGCATTGCTAGTTGCAGAAACACGCACAGCCACGGATGTCTGTGATAAAATAAAAAAATCAATTTTTTGCCGTGGTCCACCAAGAGGCCAGACGTGGTCCGACTTTCACAGCACAGATTACTGCATGCGCCGGTGCACTGCAGCCAAGAATGCTGGAAACCGTCTTACATATGACGCTACATGATTAAAATGATAATGTTTAAAACTAAACGGGGCCAGTAAAATGATTCCCAGGACCGAGGGCGCTGTTTTAATTTCTGTCCGAAACCGAAGGTAGAAGGCAGTCCAGTGGTCAAGGTCATGGCAAATTTTCTGGAACAAGTGTGGTACGCTTTTTACCCAATGTTGTTGCGTGATAGAACATGGAAATAAACTTAAGCCCATTCTTCTCACCATACCTACTTGGGTGATAACATCGGGGAAGTCCACGAAGAGAAAATGCCAGGGTTTATTTTAGGAGCTTATTTTCACAAAATGAGTTTTTTGGGGGAGGAGGGGCTGAACAGTGGAAAATTACCCTACCTTTCCCAAAGCATACCGACACACAGGTTTCTCCTCGGATTTGGCCCACTCCCTTCCAAAACTTGGGCGGGGGGCTGAAGCCTTCTCCCGAACTGAATAGGAAACCTCATCCGTGGTTTACTTAGTCCAGCCGTAACAAGGAGCCACTATCTACGACCATCGTTAACAGCATCGTCACCGCGGAATTACAACATTTCACTATAAATGCCATTCACCACCAAACTTTATCTATGTGGTTGCAAGTTTTGACGGCAACAGCTGCGGTTGGTAACAGCTTCATAGCTTCCAGTCGCATTGGTGTCGGACTGTTTGTGCGTGAGCTTGTGAAACATTTCGACCCGCATTCAAAAATGCTTTCCAAGCACGAAGAGCGAAAGACGAAGACGAAAACGAAATGTTACACCACACGCATGGTCTAATACATAAGGAAATATCCCGACATTCGGTAAAACGTCAGAAGATAACTTTTGTGTACAGGAATACTCAGGTAAATTGGACAGACGTCGACATTTGAGGGTAATCGGCAATCACCTTGTTACTGCATGGCGCCACGTCAGCAAGAGTGATCTTTGAGGCCTAAATTTGAGTACGCACACACTATCTATCCTGACGTACCTGACCTGTGCTAAAATTAAGCTTTCTTCCATCCGCTTCGAGAGCCCAGCGATTTACGCAGATTCCTTCCACCGCACTCCTCGGTGATCATCGTGTTTTGCATATTTACTTGGATTTGATCCGTCGACAGCAATAATACTGGAATAGTCAACTTTGTAACACAACGAGTATCTGCAAACAGCTTTATTCTACCTACTTGATATGGGAAAGAAAGACCTTCAGGTTAGTTATTCGGCATTATCAACTCAGCGTACTTATGTTGAGTTAATAACCTTCAGTATACCTGGAGGTACTGATTAACCCACGTTATGGTCCTGAACAACGATTATATCGATCATTTCATCCATGCGCATGGGCACGAGTCAAAGTATTGAGTACGGTCTCACCTGGTCACGGATCGGGTGACCGGCAGATGTCTAACCTGGTCACGGATCGGGTGACTGGCAGATGTCTCACCTGGTCACGGATCGGGTGACCGGCAGATGTCTCACCTGGTCACGGATCGGGTGACCGGCAGATGTCTAGCCTGGTCACGGATCGGGTGACCGGTAGATGTCTCACCTGGTCACGGATCGGGTGACCGGCAGATGTCTCACCTGGTCACGGATCGGGTGACCGGCAGATGTCTAGCCTGGTCACGGATCGGGTGACCGGCAGATGTCTAGCCTGGTCACGGGTCGGGTGACCGGCAGATGTCTAACCTGGTCACGGATCGGGTGACCGGCAGATGTCTAACCTGGTCACGGATCGGGTGACCGGCAGATGTCTAGCCTGGTCACGGACGTGCCATGCGTCAGCCGAGCAGTGGCCGTTCCAAACTGCAGACAGATGGTCCCAGTAAAGTCGGATGTATCAGCCGGGCACCGATATTGGTGGCCCGGGCCGTTGTGGAGCTGGATGGGTGGCCGTTCCTAACTTATGGCAATGCGTGCTGATCGCAACATTGTCATTCGCTCAATCCAGCTCGTGACCACTTTTGCGAATCAAGTAATATTCAGACAATACTGGAGAACTAGAAACGTTTGCTGTGGCCGTTGAAAACGAGAAAAGCTAGCGTTGGATACCTTCTACGAGGAAGTTGACAGATTCACGCTGTCCAATATCTAAAGATTCCCATGTTAAGCAGACACAAAGCGGATATGTTCGGGCGCATTTGGCAGTTTATTGACTTCTTAGGTTACTTGGCTAAAATTCGTGGACGAGGCGAAGGAAAAAACAGGAGATTAAAACCTGAGCTGGAAGCCGCATCGTAAACCAATTATCAACTTCCTGTTCGTAAAGTGCAATAATGTTGGGCCCGTCCAGGATCGTCCAACATTATATTTCGCGCAGGGTGTCGCCTGGTAGGAAAAGCACGGTCCACGGCTTAATAGCAAATCACATTTTAATGGGATGAGCGCGGTCCACACGTGAGCGGGCTATCCATGTCATTGGTGTGATGCTCCGGACACAGTGAGATTTATCTCCTTCCCTTGGATGACAACACGAGAAAAATATATCAATTTCTCAATAAGCGCTTTTAATGTCTTGATCCTGTATCTGTAGCTATGCGATGCTGTGCGAGGCTGCAACACTAAGAATCTGCTCACACGCGCTTTCTCAGCGTGTCGGACGCGTGTCTTCGGCCCCAGGATACAAACCGCGCATCTGCCATACTTCGGCAGATGCGCTGTCATACTTTTGCCCAATGCGTCATACTTTTCGACAGCCAACGCAGCCGCAAACGAAATATTTGCTTCCATCTTCCGTCTGGTCGCGATGAGCATTCCTTCGGAAAAGATGATCCCTGTGAATTTCGATTGCATGTTTGAATGCCTAACACGCGACTTAGCGCTGCCATCTTGAAAGACATTGGCTTGTCGGTCACAGCTTTCTCGTATATTCGAATTTTGGACGTAATTTAAACGTCGTGTGGTTTATGTCTTACATGGACATAGGGTGTGACCATCGCAGATTACGTTCCTTCAAAAGCATAGGGATTAAGGCGTATTTTTCATTCTTCCGGGCAAAGCAGAACCACATGTTAAAAACGCATTTGAAATATTTTTTTCTTCTAAAACCACATAACATGCGTGGTGTTAACATGGTATTTACGTGATTGTATGCAATGCACATGGATAGGTGCACATAATGCTCTCTGTTGATATCCGCTGCGTACCATCCCCAATGTGTGACGGACATGCGAGCTTTTGGAAAAACGCCAAGGTGTTGATGTCATGCATACCTAGGGTTGTGTTGGGCACATGTTGGTAAGCAACGTCTTGCACCTAGACACTACACACAAGAGTTTCGTTTTTCAACTAAATATTTATCATTGGATTTAAGCGCATTGTTTCATTTCCATAGCGCATTTCTAGTTCCAGTATTGCCCATTTCATTTCAGTTTGGTCGCATCGCCGTGTTGAACCTGACTCGCGAATGGAAGCGCAGTTGCCAATACATTTGGCGAATTGTGTCCTTCGACCTGACCTGTGATGTCACTGGTGTCCTTCAGATCAGCAGATGTACGCGTGCCGTGACTGTTCCGGACTGTCTATCTTATCTCGATGCTGTCAAGTACGCTGCAGGCAATGTTTTCATTCCATTCGGGCTGCCTGAGTCGTAGGAAATCCTGCCCTTGCCGTCCATGCTGAACTTGCATTGTTGCCAGCAATCCTGATGTTTATCTAACCAGAACTAATAACTTCGCGCATGTAAGGGTACTGTACCCAGCGCCGACTGCAAATGCAATTTTGAGCCGTGCCGCCGTAAAAATTAGTGTGATAACGCAGCGCAATCATCATGAGCATGCTTACCAGTTCCCTCTGGGATCTGCAAAGCTTTCACCGTTGCAAAACAATCCTACGGGACTTCAGAACTTCAGGACTTCAAAACTTTCAAATCTTGGGGGAGAGAACCCAAAATTCTGCAAGGCAATCCAACATTATTTAAGAATCATTCAAAACAGCTATAAATGAGCTAAACAACAGGAACATTAGTACCCTTGCCAGGGATGGTGAAAGTTTCCGGCTTGATGGATAAAGTCGGCGACAAAAATGTGTATTTTCACTCAATGTTTGGTGCCAAAAATGCCCTGGGCTGCACATTTCGGTGGCGGCCACCATCAAATTTTGCAGCACACATTGCACAACCTAGCACGTGTCCTCCGTAGTAATGCCTTGCGCAACAAAACATGTGCAGTTCGTCAAAACCTTTTAGGTAGAGTGCGTAAAAGTAAAGTAGCAGTAAAAACTTTTTACGTTTAGTAGGTAAAGATCTTTTACCGTACCCTACAGCACCATGGTATTTTTTTAGGTTTCATTCCAACCCGGTGACAAAAATATAATAAGATTTTTAGTTGGTCGCTCACTCCGTTGGTAAGTCGGCGACAAAACCGTGTATTTCCAATGACCCG